AAATAAACAAAAATTTCCTGTTTCTCCATCCCTTTAAAAAGCTAAGCGCATACTAACACCAAATCATCGCTAAAAACCCATTTTCAGTCAAGGGTCAGTGAATCGAAGATGAACGATACTTGTTATATTCTAATTCGAATTAGGCAACTCATGTTTGCATGCCGATTCTTTTTATTTTCTGTAAAAGATGATTAATATGCATGCTATTTGTATGTGTGATTTTTATAGTTTCTTGCTACTGAAGTACGTTATTTACTTGTTATAGATGTATGACGATACTGAACGATTTCATAAACATTCTAAGTCAGTAATTAAACAAAACTGTAAAACACAAAAAGTCCCGAAATCAAAGTCGAAAATATTATTGCATCATTTTGTAATGAATATGACACGTCATCCGTAAGTACCACAGATGTGCATACAATGTAAAAATATTATTGCATCATTTTTTCCTTTGACTGAAAGTCTAGGGTCATATGAAATAAATGTCGGCGTCGGCGTCGGCGTCCGCATGCGACCGACGTACATATATATAGTGACCAGTGAGTGTGACGGACGTACATACATATAGTGACCAGTGAGTGTGACGGACGTACATACATATAGTCATGTGACAGTGTGACGGACGTACACACATATAGCCACGTGGCAGTGTGACGGACGTACATTGATATAGTGACCAGTGAGTGTGACGGACGTACATACATATAGTCATGTGGTAGTGTGACGGACGTACACACATATAGCCACGTGGAAGTGTGACGGACGTACATACATATAGTCATGTGGAAGTGTGACGGACGTACATACATATAGTGACCAGTGAGTGTGACGGACGTATAGACTATATCAATAGTATAATATAGACTATATATTTAATTATTAGACTAACTACTGAACTTAAGGATACTCTCTCTTCTTTTACGCATATTTTTCGAAAAGAAACAGAACGAACCCGAGATAGTGTCGGGAGTAGCTGTGGTAAAAATTTGAGCTCGACCGGACCATTTTTTCGAGGGACTGTAATGTGACCGGATGAAAACTGCAGTTTTCCAGAAAAGCCATTGAAGAACGCGTCAGAAAATTCTGGGCAAAAACACAAAGAATTTCCTTTTTCGATGTTCTACCTATGGTATAAATTCCACCCCGATCCGACATCGGCTTCCTCGGTTTCCAGGAGCGTCAAAGGGGGGGAGGCGCTTTACCCCTCATAAACACTTAAATTTTAAATACTTTTGTTTGTTTTATCCTTCCTCAGGTCTAAAATACTAAAATGTTACCCCTTCTAGTTTTGAGGTCGATCAATCACAAGCTAAATTTGTTGCTCAAAGTAGTATTCTACGTGCATCGGCTCGTTGCTCACAGACACTATCATCCACAAACATGATCGATGACATTTCTGAATCATACATAATGAAAACAACACGAACGTTTTCTTCAAATGCAACTTATATGAGGAAAAACAATGCTGCACCTGTTACTGAAGAATATTGGCTCTAGTCAGCCGTTACTGCGTTCAACGAAATTGATAAGCAGTTATTAAGTTTAAATGAATTTCAAAGCTTCACACCATGTGGAGGTGTTTGTTTTGGTCTAGACAAGAAATGCGATGATCAATACAATATTCGAACTGATATAAAAGGATTAGTATATTGTTTTCTACCTACAAGTATGGAATCGCTATTACCGTTTCATATCAACGGGTGTTTTGCCCTTTCCACAGATCGTCGTCGTCTTCTACAAAAGTTTGTTGATGATCGAAACAAGCGACAATATGAATGGAATGATCTTATTTTGAAAGCTGTTAGTAAAGCACTTTTACTTGGTTTAGAAAATGCTTTAAATGTATGTGGCCCACATTCATTTGAAACATTAACAAAATTTTGGTCAATTCCAATCAAGTTGCCATCACTTAAAGCATTAGAGACGACTTTTTTATCTTCCATTATTGATCCACTGAAAAATTTTGCAATACTCAGCGATGGCAAACAAGTCGGTTATTTCCAACTATGCTGGATTCCTAAATAGGACAAACTCCTCCTGACTCTAGAAATACCCTTTACAATGTTCAAAACAGATTGCTAAAAGTTTTTACGCTAAATGACGATTTTTAGGCCACGATGTACCGGAATACAGAATTTTTGAAAGGGGGCAGGTCGGCCATCCGAGGTTTATTTTGCAACTCTATCTATTTTTTTTGCTTGAAGACCTAAAAGTTTCGTTCATATGCCATTCGAACCAGCTCATCGTGGGCTACAAAAGTACGGGTTTTTTTTGAAAAAACCTTTTTCCTGTGCTGAGATATAGAGCCTACATTTTTTAGACCCACAATCCTTCAGGTCGTTCGCTAATAAAAAATTTGTTTTTGATTCAAAAAATATCAAGATAGTGTAGAATAGGTTAAAATCAATGCAGAATCCGATAAAAATACTTTCGAGATTTCTAGAGGCACTTT